AAAAGACAACGCCAAAGCGCCTGGCCCAGGTATTATGTAGCGGGGAAGGTGAGGAGAGCAGCTGCTCCTTCTCGCGGGGTGTGTATGGGAGCGAGGGTGCGTGTGTCCCTATGAAGAGTACACACCAATCTGCTCAACATATGTCACCACAAATCACAGACTCTCTCCCTCCTTCCTCCCCCACCATCACTGTCTGCCCAGCTCCTGACCAACGCAGAACAGAGGCGCTGAGAAGAAGCGACGATTCAACAGGTGTCTCCGTGCGCACTGCACCTTTTCAGGCATTCACCATCCCCGGAGGCGGTGGGAATAATGTGGACACTTTGTTTCCAGGCGCTGCGCGCAAGCTGTGGACACCTGGGGGAGGCGACCCTGGACAGGGAGGGGGAATCTGTAAATAAAGACCTCGGGCTCTCCTGATGGCCCTGGCCCTCTCCTTCCTTTGTTCACAGACTCCCCGGACCGGAGCTCCCACATATGCGTCCTGGGGGGTAGCATATGGCGCCCTCTCACCTACCCAAGAAAAAGAACCAGCCACCCATTCAAGAGCGCACGAAGTCCTTGGGCCTGGGGAGGGGGAGTCTCTACGGGAATGGCCTCTCTCCCAAAGCAGATGAAAAGCCCGCCTTATCTCTCCCCACCCCACCCCCAGCCACCACCTCAGCTGGCGCAGCAGCCGTTGGGTGGGGAGCAGTGCGCACTGGGCAGCAGCAGCCTGCGGAAGCGCCCCAGCTCCCGGCAGATGAAATATGGGGCTGGTGAGCCCTTGGAAACCATATGCTTTCAATAAAAGAAGACAAATAGGACCGAGATAGGCCTTGCAGCCAACCTGTTATAAATGGGTGGCAATTGGGCCAATGTACACGGGAGCAGGGCCCCCGGGGGGAGGCCAGTTCGGTGCCAAATCCATGTGTCAGCTTCTGGGACAGGTGTGCCCAGAGACCAGGGGCCAGGTCTCCCCCTTCTGGGTTTATCACAGTAAAGGTAATATTGTGCTAACTATGAGTAAACAGTCATTGTGAAAACCAGGGAGAGTTTATCAGAGGCGAACTTGTTGGGGGTGGCTTAACAATAAAGTTGCCCGCCTTGGGAGCAGGTGATGGCTGGCTGCACTGACTCCCGCAGTAGATGTTTTCCAAAGCACTCCACTTTACAATCTCTTGTAATTATTTATTAAACGAAATCTATTTATTATTATTTTAGCAAACACTGGAGACAGGTGGGGCTTTCTTTTCCTCGTCTCCTTTTGTTTGAAGGGCTGTTTGAAGTGGCCAGTCTCGGCCCGGGCAGCTCGCTCACCAGATTTTTGTCTTCCTCTCTTACAGCGCCGAGACCAAGGCGAGAGAAAGAAGCCCCCTTCTCTGGAAAGCCATTAGCTATTCAGCTTCCCATGACCCCCCTCCCTTCTCACTCGATTCTCAAAGAGCCCCCACGAAAGGCACTAATTCCCCCCGAGACAGGAAGGCGGCCGCACTGGCCGCTGTCTTCCTTCTTTTCCAATCTGTCAGTGGTCTCCAGGCGCCTTACTCTTCCCTCTCTTAATGGACCCGTGCAGGCTCTAGGCAAATCTAGTTCCCACAGGGTCTGTTCTCGCAGGGGTCCCAGAGTTCCCAGGAACTATGGCGGACCGGGGCTGCAAGAATAAGGTCAGCTCCCCGAAAGAAGGAAGGTTTCACAAACACCAACTAGAGCGCATGGATTTCTCACCTCCTTGCGCCCCGCCTACAGGAGCACAGGGATTAATTTTGAAGAGGAGTCTGTGCGTCTCTTGCAGCGGAGGAGGGCAAGTACCCTTGATCTCTAACCTTCTCGACCTCCAGTCCCGCCCTCCTGGTTAGAAGAGCAAGGAGTACCAGCTTTAAGTGGCAAGGTCCTGGCTGCTGTGCGCTCTCCTTCCTGACTGCTTTTTGCGCATAGAAAGAATAACGAACAGCTCGAGCCCCAAAGCGTCCTGAGACGCAGATTTTCTAGGAAGGTTAGAGAAAAATCCCATGGGGATCTCAGGGTTTTCTCCCCGCCAAGAACTCCCCAAGAATCTCCAGTATTTCCTCTGCTATGAGAAGCTCTGACGCTCTGTGGCTGCAATCTTGCCACTACCCATTAACTAACAGTTCGGAGCATGTCCAAGCCAAGCCAAATCCCAGATTTGTCCACTCGCTATGTCCAAGGCAAGTCAGGTCTTAGTTTGGACTGCTTTTCGGATCATCAGGTATAGGATTTGGGTTTGGATTAGGGTTGGGTTTGGAGTGCTGGGATCCCTCATGACCACCAATGCTTCCTCCACTGGACCCTTAAAAGAAGACTCTTTGGAATTCTTCTGGTTTCCAATTCCAAGAGTATATATAAATCAAGCCAGATTGTAGCATGGAGCAGGAAAGCCGAGATACTAGGCTTGAGTGGCCACTGGCTCCCCGTGGCTTTAGGTATGGGGTTAGCGTGCCTTTCTAATGCTGCCTAATTATTTTCCACAGATCACCAGTTTTCCCAATTCTCTGTGTTGTGTTTAGAGGTCTCTGGTTTTGCCTTGGTGGTGGTGTGTGCTGCAGAGTCAGAACCAACTCATGGGTAACCCTCCAGTGGGTTTTCAGAGGCAGTTAATCCCAAGGAAGGAGACTGCCCATCTTTCTCCCATAAAGCAGCTGATGGATTCGAACCATGTACCCTGGGGATTTCATTGCAGCTTCTCACCACTAGGCCACAAGGGTCTTAAGAAAATATTTTCCCTAGAATCAAGGAGAGGATGCAGGTACAGTGGTGAGCCTTTACTTAATTTAGGACCTAAGGTCTATCAACGAGGTCTGATAGAACTCGCTGTGATTTGGGAAAGCCACTTCTCTCTGGGCCTTGAATGCTTCATCTGTAAAATGCGCCCCAGGTTCTCATGTAATGTAAGTGGAATGGGAATCAATTCATAGCTGATGCTCCAGTGGGATTTCAGAGGCGGTGAATCAATCCCTCTGGAGATTGCCCTGCCTTTCTCCCACTTCTTATGACTAGAAGACAGTGAACCAGGACAGAAGAAGCAAAGACTGACCCAACATCTTGGTGTCGTTTCTTTGTTAGTCTAGAGTTTGACCTAGGCCTCCCGTTTCCTCTTCTCTCAGCTCCTCTCAGTCCTGGAGTTCTAGACCCTGCTCTGAGTGGCTCTCACACGCACAGTCTCTGACTTGATGTTAATTTCGCCACCCCCTCAGCAGCCTGGGCGACAAGCCACCACTACACTATCTCATCCCCTCACTCAGTCCCCGACTGCCTCCCAGCCAGGCTTGATCCTGGGGGGTTGTGACCCTTAAGAAAGCAGAGCCTTCCCAGCCTCCGGGGCCTTAGCGCCGGCCCCAGTCGCTGCAGCCTCAGCTTCCTCCCTTCCACATACCTCGGTCCTAAAGAGAAGCGAGCGGAAGCCGCGACCCTTCACCCAGAGTGACCGGAAGCAAAAGACCACGGGGTGTCCGAGGCGGGGACAAGCGGGAGGGGAGGGGAGGAGAGGGCACATGATAGGTTTAGAATCACTTTGGGAAGTGCCAATGGGCGAACGGGGGTCCTGTGCTCCCTGCGCTATCCCGCCGAGGCCGGGGGCTGCGCCTGTGATCTCTGGAGCCCCCATCGGCCTGTGACCCAACTGCAGGGTCAAGAGGGGACAGACAGGCTTGATCTGCTCCGGCGCCAGCACACCGAGGTCTCCTAAGACCTATTCGATGTTAATTTCGCCACCCCACCCCCTCCGCAGCCTGGAGCGAGGCGGGCACTACTGCAACATGCAGACCTGCCTCCCACAGCCACCCTGCGGGTTGTGAGCCCTGGGGACCCCAGGCTTCTGACTGTGAACTCCCAGGCTCTCCTGACCTCCTCCACCTGCCCTCAGCCCCCCCACCCCACCCCGCAAGCACACTAGGACACTGTCCCGCACTGTGGTGGCGGTGGAAGGGCCTCTCGAAGGTCCCACCGTAGCCACTTTGAGACTCTGGGGGAAAGAATCAGAACGTCTTGGGTTTGGGGAGGCATCTGAGACCCCCTGTCCTGGGGAGTATGGGAGCTGCAAGGTCATAGGCAGGCTTTCTCTCGGGCTCTGCCTGCCTCCTTCCCAGGACGAAGCGAGTTAGTGAACCACCCATCGAGTATATGACTTGACTGGACCCTTAGCGCAAGAGTTCCGGGAGGACAACAAGAGATGTCTGCTCCAAACTAGTCAGGACCTTGTTCCATTCCTGCTACGACCTCACCGTGCGACTGAGGCAAACCACTTTCCTCTCGGTACCTAAAGTGTGTCCAGACATAACACATGGGCAGTGACCTTCCCTATGGGTGTCTTGAGCCCTCACCACAATATCAAGAAAAGGACTGAGCAGAGGGGGAAAAAAGGGGTGGGGGGGGGGGAAGCAAAGAGCGCAGGGCTGCCAGACGCGAGCCAGACACGATTCTGAGCCCTAGGCGAGGTTCTTTGAGGAACCGAGAGTTGCTGGGACCGCGCCCGCAGGACGAAAGCAAACAGACTGCGCTCCCCTCCCCAGACCCGGGCTCTTTGTCCGGAATCCAGCTGTGCCCCCGGGGGAGGGGGGCTCGCGTGGCGCGGCCCGGGACCCCGACGCTGATTGGCCGGTGGCTCGGGCAGCAGCCAGGCAGGCACGCTCCTGGCCCGGGCCGAGCAGATAAAGCGTGCCAAAGGGCACACGACTGCAGTGCAGGAAATCCCCCGCGGTCTCACAAGGGGGCGGAGAGAGCAGGGCATACAGGATCGGGGTCCTGCAGGCGTCGCGGGGCTGGGACCCTCCGAGGCGGCAGCGTCATCAGCTGAGTGCACAGGCCGGACAGTCAGCTGGAACCTCGCTCCTCTGCGTTCTGTGCCATTTTGCGCCCCACAAACCAGGTAATATTGGGGAGGACAAGAGAGGGTGACGTGAAAGGGTGGCTTTTCTTAGTATTTCTTCCCTACGGATTCTGGGGTCTGGAACGGCGTCCAGGAGACCAAAGACGCACTCTGGTCCCTGTCACTTGGCCGCAGGATGGCGCCTCATCCCTCCAGTGCACCTGCTATCCGAGTGGCCCACAAGACAGAGCTGCCCTTTCCAAGAGCCACCGCCGACGAAGTGACCTGTGCTGCATCTACTCTCCCCAGCCCCACACTCGTATCCCCAGACTGCGCCGAGGTCCAAGGGGGCGGCTGCCGAGGGTCGACGACAACCAGGAAGCTCCGGGGGCGGCTCGGAGGGCGCAGCCGTCCCAAGAACGAGTTGGCGCTGAGCAGGCAGCGACGGAGCCGGCGCAAAAAGGCCAATGACCGAGAGCGCAATCGGATGCACAACCTTAACTCGGCGCTGGACGCTCTGCGCGGCGTCCTGCCCACCTTTCCCGATGACGCGAAGCTCACCAAAATCGAGACGCTGCGCTTTGCGCACAACTACATCTGGGCGCTGACGCAAACGCTACGCCTAGCCGACCACAGTCTCTGCGGACTGGAGCCGCAGGCTGCCCCGTGCGCCGGGCTAGGCAGCCCGGAGGGCAGCTCCTCTGGGGACTGGGACTCCCTGTACTCCCCCGTCTCCCAGGCGGGCAGCCTGAGCCCCGCTGCCTCGCTGGAGGAGCTGCCCGGGCTACCGGTACCCGCCTCTCCAGCCTACCTGCGCCCAGGAGCCCTGGCCTTCTCAGACTTTCTCTGAAGAGGCTGGCGACCGCTTGTTGGTGCGTTCTAGGAGAGAGAGAGGGGGCGGCCAGGGGTGGGAGGCTGCTCTCTAGTTCAAGTGCTTCTTGTTGGCTCTCGTACTCTGACCCTGGAAGTGGGGTGGGGATGCCAGAGTTTAATCCCCAGCCCTCTGCGCCCCCCAGCTCCTGCAGTATTCTCTCTTTCTCTGAGTACTTCAGGCTGCGCGAGCTTTAGACTTTCTGTGGCTTCCCCAAAATCTCGTGCAAAAGGAAATTGTATAGCACTCTACAGCGACAGAGGGTCGCCAGGCTCCAGATGCGCCGCCTGCATTCCAGAATAGGTACATCTGTCTGTGAGCCGTTAACGATCACTCCCCACCCCCAGTGGTTAAACCCTGTAGTCTCAGCGTTCTCCCCTTGCCGCTGCCCTTCCTCTCCAAATTGAATCCCAGATTTGGGGCCTCCCCACTCTGCCTTAATCCATAAAGGCGATCTTCTGCCTTCTAGTGCACTTTTCAGAGGCCTAGCCCTCCCAGATGGCAGGATGAAAAGCTGGGATCTGGGAATCAAGGTCCCCGCCTCCCCAGCGGATCCCACCTCCGTGCGTCCCAGCACGCCGTACCTGAGCTGTGCTGTACAATGCTGGAGCGCTGCGCTTTTGTGGAGGTTTTTGTTTTGTTTTAGAAATCACTTTTGAATATGATGTCTTTAGAAATTAATGTTGATATGATAAATGCTATATAGTCTTTTCCCCCGTTTTCAAGTTTGTATTTATTGCTGACTTCCTTGTGGAAAAAGTCTATATTTTGTACATCAGATTACCCAGGGACTGGTGAATAAAATTTTGAGCCAATTTAAACCAAAATGAGTCTATCTCCTACGGCGGGGAGAAGTAGGCTGGGGCCATAGTATCTGTGGCGAGAGGGAGTTATTCTGCCCGAAAAGAGGGGGCGCGGCTCTTTGAGAAGGTTTAAGGAGCTTCTCTTGGGTCGGTCGGGGTGGGAGGTCATGCGGAGGGTGAGTCAGCAAAGCTGGGCTGGATAGTCGTTAGAAATCATCGGCCTAGCCTCCATGTGTTATTGGTGGAGCCGAGACTTAGTTCAAACAGCGTTTTAGAAGAAAGTCAAGCCAGAAGCTCGGTCTACTTACCCGTGCTCAGACCCTTTTCTCTACACCACCAGCCTGGACCTAGAAAGTTCCAGTCACATTTGAGGGGGTGGTCACAGGCTTGACTCAACCCCGGAGGTGGACCCCTAACATCATCCTTGGAGGTGGGGTCGGGGAGGGGGCGGACATCTCAGGACCTTCCCCCAAAAGTCTCAGAAGCCTGGAATATCCCAGGAGTGTATTTTACGCACCACTCGGAACCGACTAGGTGACGGCAGGCATCTTGATTTGCTGACACGGAGCTACCGAGATAGAGAAGGTACTAGGCTCAACTGGAGTCTGCTGTCCCTGGACCTCTTTGCCCCTGGACAACTTTGATTGTCAAGAAATGTTTACTGTTTCCAGTCACAGGCTCTTGACTCCTACAGTTAAGGCTTGGGACCAAAGCCTGTCTCAGGGGCGTCGGCGGAGCGTCCCTCTCTGGCTTCCACGACCTCCAGGGCCTCAGGAAAGCCGAACAGAACTGTAAGAATTTGCTGGAGCAGTTGGCAGCAACGGAAACAGGGAAATAGGAAGCTGGCATCCTACCCGTGTGCTGAACCCCAGGGTCTTCCTTGGGTCGACCTTGGATGGCCTTGGAAAAAGAAAGCCTTCCAACCCTTGTGCGTCCCAGGGTGTCCAGGGGCCAGGCGCAGGCGGCTAGGTAACAGTCTAGCGCCAGAACGGCGGCTTCGCAGGAGTTAATGCGTCTCTTTTCTGCACCCTTCTGGCTGCTTCTCCCTCCCCTTCTCTTCCCCCTCTCCCCTTTCCCCCTCTGTCCTCTGGTTGTTTAGAAACGTCTCAGTTAAGGGCTTGGGGCGGGCAGAGAGGCGCCACCAATAAACGAATGAACAGAGGCGTTGTTCCATTTCACGGGTTTTTAATCAAGGAGGAGATTAATGAGGTTTTGGTGACCTTTGCAGCAGCCAACTTTCCACCTGAGGCACCGCCCGGGGGCAGGTGTCCAGAGCTCCTAGTTGGCAATTTACATAGTTGTTAGTTGCTTTGATTGATTTCTACAAAGCCGGGTCCCTCGACAGGATTTCTTGTCTACATATCATCTTAGCTAAAGCAGATTGCCAGGCCTTCCTTCTGCAGTACCTCTGAGCGAGTTCGCACCGCCCGGGACTTAAACCTTAATTAAACCCTGCCTCAGACGCCGTCTCTTTCCAACAAGCCACTTCACAACTTAGATTTTGAAGCCGCTGCCCGGGGCAGATGGTGTTTGAACCAACACTCAAAAGACTTTCTTAAGCGAGGTCATTCTTCCCGTGAAAGGCAGGGGGAGGTAGTGTGCACTCGGGCAAGGGACTCTCACGGTGCAAACCCCCTGCAGCTGGACTAAGGTCTGCGTGCTCGGCGATCAGGCTGCACCCACCGCCTTACAGTGCTTCCCGGGGTGTCATTAAGGAGCCATCAGTCACCCAGTGCGCACAGATGGTCCTAGGCCCCACGAATTAAATCAGTAAAGGGGAAGGGTACCCAATCTGGTAACAGTTTAACCAGTATAATTGTTGGGGGTGAGCAAATTTGTCCCACAACTGCCCAGGCTGCCCTACTTGTCACTGTTAGGTGCCATCGAGTCAATACGACTCACAGCGACCCTACGAACAACAGATCTGAGCTCAGTTCTAATCGGTGCCATCCTCATAATCTCTGACACCCTTGAGCCCATTGCTGCAGTCACCGTATCAATCCACCTGGATGAGGGTCTTCCTCCCTTCCCTTGTCCCTCCACCTTCACAAGCATGATGTCCCTCTCCCAGGAATGGTTTCTCTTAGCGACACGTCAGAAGTATGTATGAGAAGAAGCTTTGACATCTTTGCATCCAAGGAGCACTCTGGCTGCACTTTCTCCAAGACACTGCCCTACTAGTGAAAAAGTCTTAGAAGGGAATTCTTAGGATTTGGCTGAATCTCTCCATAACTTGGGGCTCAGGCGCCAAGGGCGGTCCGTCTATATCGTGGAATCGCGGTAAGGTGGGAAATCTCCTACAGGCCTCTTTCGGAAAAACAACTCAGCAAGAAGCTTTCTTGTGCCTGACGGGTCCGGTTCTCCCATCGTCCTCACGTCTCTCCTCCCGTCTCCCAGTCCTTGTCAGCATTTTGCCTTCAGCGCTTTTAAAGCCAGCCAGGCAGCTGGCCGACTCCGCAGATAGCCTGCCCCTGCCCCCATCGCGGGCGGGCCCTGTCCGGTTGCTCAGTGGCAGCCTTTGGGGTTGCCTCCTGCGTACCAGGTCCCTGACACAGGAGCCGGGTCCCAAGCAGCAGCAGGAAAGACGCTCAGGTCGGAGGGCTCGTCCCTCCGCTGCCTTTGTCTGAGCCTAAGTCTGGCTTCCAGAAAAGCGGCCCATGAATCTTGCACCTCCACCCTCAGTCTCGGTCCCCATACACAAGCAGGTAGATTTATGGTGCCCTGCCCCCATCCCACCCCATCCTCCAGCCGGCTGGGGCGGAGGACAAAGCCTCCCGGGGCCATTGGCATGCTAATGTCTGGGAGTCTGGCCGTGGTAAGAGCACAAAGGCGGGGCCCTGGGCGCACGCGACCCCACAAGCGCAGCCTGTCATGCCTCTGCCTGACGGAACTCTAGACAAAGTGGTACGACCTTGGACAAATCCCTGAGCCTTGTTTTATTCACAAGAGAGTTTGGGGTGTGCCCCTAAAACCTTCCCACTGGTTTTCCTGGTGCTGAGAGATGCACTTTCTGCTTTCAGTGGTACAGTCTTGATCGAAAGTGGTTTAAAGAATCCTAAAAGTGGGTTTTGGAGAGGGTGAAGCCAGGCTGTTCCTTGGAGGCAAGGATTCTGACATACTCCATCTGACATACTTTTGCCATGTTGCAAGGCAGACCAGTCCTTGGAGAGGGACGTCATGCTTGGGAGGGTGGAGGGACAGCGTAGGAGAAGACCCTGGAAGAGATGGATGGATTGATTCAGTGACTGGGGTAATGAGGGTGTGTCAGAGACAATAAGATTAACACAGGATAGAGCAGGTTTTAGGGCTGTTGTACATTGGGTCGCTATGAGTTGCAGGCAGCTTGATGGTACATAACAACAACAACAATAACAAAGGTGGGTGTGCCAGGGTGTCAGGGGGATTCAGCGGCACATATGGAGCAGAATAAATGCTGAGTGGATCATAAATACATTTGTACATTTATGTCATATTCTTGGGTGTGCTTTTCTAATTCCTGTCTATAGAACTCAAGAAAAGAGGGAATCTCCACGACATTACCTCTTCTTCCCACCTTCACAGGCCAATGGGAGATTTGTCACCTTGTGTCTTTTGTCTCTTGTGGCCTGGAAGAGTTGATGAGGTGGTCAAGGCAGGGATGTTTGTATCCTGCAAACCAGACCCAAACCCCTGGGGTGTCTAATCCAAAGTCTCCATTCCCTGGTGAGTTCCTGGAGCGAGCTGGGACCAGAGGCCCCCAGTCAAGTCCAGCCATTTGAGAACTCTTCTCTGTGTTCAGGGTTCTCTGGTGGCAGAGTCTATAGGGAGCTGCACTGCTAACCCAAAGGTGGTGCCTCTCTCTCAGATGGTTCAAATCCACTCTCAGCTGCTGGGGGAATGATAAGAACTCTCTCACATAATTTACAGCCTCTGAGAATGTGGAGGGTCAGCTATGCATTGGCTCTGACTAACAGTGAGATCTGAGATTTTATGTGTATGTTGTTAGGAATTTGGGTCATATTGAGCTAGTTTGCCTACAGTCCTGTGTGCATTACCTTGGGGTAATGTAAGGCTAAGAGGCTTCCCTGCACTTTATCACCTCCTGGATATATATTGATGTTCAGAGTTCCTGCCTCCCTCCCTCATCTGCTCCTCTGCTTTCAGAATTAAAGGGCCAGGCAGGAGGGAATTGGTCTC